GCAGCTCTCTCTCTCTTTTTTGGTAATACCATTGCTGTTTTTGGGCTTCCATTCACTCTTGAGATATCTTGAAAATTGATCCTTGGTGCTTTCAGATCATGTTGCCTTCTGCACAGATGTCTTATATGTATACTTGATTTGATCTAGTCACTTCGTGACTTCATCTTGTGACTTTCTAGTTTCTCCAATAGCATATTTGGTACTGAGGTGTTAGAATCCAGATGTATTTCCACTGTTATCAGTGATAATAGATTGTTTTTAAAATACACCCACACACACATATGCATATACAGATGTTCCATTTTGCACTTGTTTATTCTCCTTAACAGTTTCATGTAAATGCTCTTAGCTTAGTTGGAGCTCATGTCAAGCTTTCTGCCAACTTGTTTGGCTCTGTATTTTGACTATTACCTTCTACAGTGGTCTGCAGGTGAGAGTAGTGAACATCTTTAAATGTGTGTCTCGCAGGCATGTACTCTAAACCACTGTTGCTTTTGGCTGCTGTTTCCCTTCCTCACAAGGAGATAAAGTATTTGCTGGTTGAAGTGGTTTCTGAGCCCTTTTGGCTTTCCCTTCCTTGTGGTGGTGGCTACTTTCATGAGTTAAACTTCTCTAAGAATTGGTGATAATTTGAATCAATATTTTTTTTTATTTTTCAGAGTCAATAGGTGGTTTTGGAATGATTTATAATTTAACAGTTTTCTTATCCTTACCCTTTCTTCTGATATTAGTGTTTATTTTGATCTTTGCTTAACATATTTTCCAGAATATTTTTCTCTCTCCTTCCTTCCTCTAACCTTCATATTGAAGGTAGAGAAAATTGGTAGTGGAAAGAGCACTGGGTTCAAATTGGGTTCAAATCCTAACCCTGATACTCAATCCCTGTATGACTTTGGACAAATCACTTTAAATTTCCTTGGAGCTGTTTTTTCACCTGTAAAATGAGGGGGCTGGATGAAATTATTTCAGAGATTCTTTCCAGCTCTAAAGTGAGAAAACTGTACTGATCCAAGGACAAAAAGGCAACTTGGAATTTGCTTAAAAAAAAAAAATCCCAAAAATCAGTTTTTCTTGTAAGTTGCCTCCTCTTTTCCTAAGAGTCAAGTATAGGGCAAAGTATAGGGTCAGGTATAGGCGAAGTAGGTAAAGGGGCAGAACAGGCAGGAGGACCAGGAAATGAAGGTGGATCATCATATATGTCCTAATCAATGTGGCCTAGAGGGATGAAACTAGGTTTTAGTTCCAGGTCTTAAAACAGGGCTCATACTTGTCTCTGCTTAGTTTACAAGGCTGTATTGGGAAAAGGGAGTTACTGCATTGATGGGAGGGGAATGTTTCTTTGGGCTGTGAAATTTCTTAACCTTCCACATATTCCTGTGGGACTGAGACGAATGTTCCATTAACAAATATCTGGAATATCCCAAGAGTACCTTGAACTCCAGTTAACGTATGTAAAATGTTTTGCGAATGCAAAAGTGATATAGAAATGTGAACTAATTGTTGTTTTGAATTTTCTGCCCCTCACAGAAGGAGGATGGGCTTTTGCCCAAGCCTGCAGCTTCCGGCGAAGAGGAGGAGGAGAAGGGTCGGGGTGAAGCCTCTGAGGACCTTTGTGAGCTGAGCTTGGATGCAGAACTGCTGCTGCTGAGGGAAGATGTGGAAGAGGATTTTAGTATGTTGGGAGCCTAATAGAGCAGGGAGGGAATTTTGGCATGGGCTGAGCTGTTCACTGGTTTGGGCTGAGGCTGCTTCTTCAATATATTGTGCTGGGTTTCTTCAGCAGGGACAAAGCTAGAAGATGCTGAGGTACGGTCTGTTGCCTCAAACCAATCAGAGATGGAATTCTCCTCACTTCAGGACATGGTGAGGATCCCTCTTTTCCCACCTGTTCTTCACTAAGTAGGATTAGTTATCACAGTTAGGGAGGCCTGTGATCTGAGTAGCACTTTTAGCACTTCATCGGTCTTGGCCTTTGACTTCTTGCTCTTTCTGTAGAATACACACTTAGGGAGAAAATTTTCATGTGTATAAAGACAGCCAGTAGAATTCAGTGTCTACGAATATATTTAACCTCTACTTGATATTCATTTGTACGGCAGAGCCCCTTAGGGTTCTTCTGATAATCTTCACACTTGAACTTTATAGAGCTAGTTTCAGAACTGACACTCTCCACAGAAATCTAGTAAATCTAGTAGTGGAAATCCTTTACTTGGCCTGACAGAGCTCAGATTCAATGACTTTTCCAGCTTACCAGCCTCAGTGAAGCAAGTATCCAGCAATTCAGTTTAGCCATAAATGGCTATGTTTGTAAACACTAAGCCAATTGGAAATTTTTCTTCACTTACCCTGGTTCTCTCTTAGCCCAAGGAGCTAGACCCCTCAGCTGTGTTGCCCCTGGACTGTCTTCTTGCTTTTGTGTTCTTTGATGCGAACTGGTGTGGCTATCTTCACCGACGGGACCTAGAGAGGATCCTACTCACTCTTGGACTTCGGCTCACTGCAGAGCAGGTATCTTTTCTCTCCTCTATTGCCACCTTGCCCTGGAATGACATATTTTGTCTCATTGTGCTCTCTCCCCACCACTCCCCAACGTAGGACTCAAGCCAGGTATTCAGTAGCCTTGATTCTTGTGTTAGATAGCTCTTTGTGATCCTTGTGCAGTGATGGGTTGCATGTTGTCTGTAGGCCAAAAAGCTGGTTAGCCGGGTGGTGAGCCAGAACATTTGTCAGTACCGGAGCCTACAGTACAGTCGTCAAGAAGGCTTGGATGGTGGGGTCCCCGAGGAGGCACTCTTGGGTAAGCAGGAGAACTCCACATCATTTAACTTTGGAAGGTGAGGGCCTGGGCTTTCTTCCTCAGATCGTCTTCTAATCTCTTCTCTTCGTCTTTTTAAGGAAACTTGGATCTGCTGCCTCCCTCCTCTGGGGAAAGCCCAAAGCCAAGCTCCCCTCAGGTGGCACACAGGGGCCTGGTGTCTCATAATGGCAGCTTGATTCATGTGGGGAACCTACTGCAGCGGGCAGAGCAACAAGACAGTGGGCGGCTTTACCTAGAGAACAAGATCCACACACTGGAACTGAAGCTGGGTGAGAGGCCTGCGGCCCCACATCCTTGCTCGTGTTTGAATGTCCCATAGGCTGCGTATACCTTGGTGCACCACTAGGTGCTGCACTCCTCTTATCCCTTATTTGTCCTGAAGTTGCAGGTGGGAAGCAAGATTTCTGGTGTTTTCTTTCTAGAGGAGACCCACAGCCGCTTCTCCACCACGGAGGCTACCAATAAGACGCTGACAGCAGACATGCAGGAATTGCGGACACGGCTAGCAGAGGCCGAAGAAATGGCCCGAACAGCTGAGAGGCAGAAGAATCAGCTGCAGCGCCTGCTTCAGGAGTTTCGAAGGCGTTTGACTCCCTTACAGCAGGAGATGCAGCGCATGGCAGAGAAGGTGGGGGATAGAATTGGGAGGGCTCTGGTTACTTTGGAAACGAGGGCCACACATGGTTGCTGTTGGGAGAAGACAGCTAAAGTGACAGCTCCTTCCTTCTTCATTAATTCCTCGGGCCCATTTGTAGAGACTTCCTCAGAGTAGCTGGTCTTTCCTTGTCCTCTACTGCTAGAGTACATATCCCTGTATTTCTTTTCCTTCCTCTCTCCCCCTGCCCTATACAACCTGCCCCCCCCCCCCCTTCACTAGGGTCCTAATCTTTGACACGTCTGTGTTTCAGGCTGACAGCTGGGGAGAGAAGGAGGAACCAGCACCTAGCAACTGAGACTGAAGGGCACTGCACAGCAACTGCCACCCAGTGAGCTCAGCAATGGAGTCTGATGAAGTTGGACCCTCTCGGCACCAGAAAGCAGCTGGAGCAGGGCCTGGAAACACGGGCAGGGGAGGGGGGCTGACAGTGCTCAGCATCTCCAAGGCAAATGGAGGGGGAGGGGCCTGGGTTATGAGGGGAAGAACAAGGACTGGTTCTCAGGCTATAGGCAGGGAGGGACTCAATTTACACCTACCACTAATAGAGCATCTTTTCTTCTCACTCCTGAAATAGTGTATCTCCCTGTACCGTGGCTCTTCCTGGAGCCCTTTTAATCTTGTGCTTCCTCATATACTCCCAGTTTAGAATGAGGCAAAGGAAGGGAGGGGAAGACAGCTTGAGAACCTGTGACCAGGCCTAGCACCAACAGACTTTCTGGAGAAAGGGTCAGGGAGTCCAATTGTGGGCAGTGGATCCTTGATCTGGTCAAGCTGCTGAGCTGTAAAGGCGGATCCTTGAGGAAAGGGGCTCATGATCGCTGTACGAGGAGTAGAGCCGACAGCAAGGGCCAGTCTGTGTCTCGGGCTATTTGTCTGTAGTCCTGCACTCCGCCAACCCCAGACGAGATCCCTTGCCAGGTGAAAGCCGCTCCTTTCTCTTCTGCTCTTTGTTCAGAATGTGGTAATGGCTTGGGCCTGGTAGGTCAAGCCTTTTTCTGTTACCTTTGTAATTCTCACCTCTTTCCATAACCCACGGTTCCAGTTTGACTTTGTATATAAACAGTTGTCCTTTTTTTGGCTTTTTGTTTTTTAAATAAACCAAAGTCAAAAACACAGTACGTGCCTGCAGTCCTGCAGGGCCCCTCCCCTGCTGTTTGCTTAGTCTTTCTGGTTTGTAACCTACTTGTGTCATAGGGCCCCGAGTCTTCTTGCCTTTCAGACTTCCCTGCACTCCTCTACTCTTCCCTTAACCCCCCAAAGTGTAGGCTAGATTGTACTCATCCAGGTAAGGTAGTGAGTTGTTTCAGTTTCTTCCTGTTAAACAGATGTCAGACCCTAGAAGTCAGTTACCTATAACCCCAAAAAGCACTTGAAAAAGAAAAGAGTGGTGGGGGGGACTACCAGGCATTAGGTAAAGGGTGCTGTTATCATAGTTTAGTCCTCCAGAGGGCAGCACCACATTGTTCATGGGACATCGTATATCCTTGGAAGCAAGGCTTGTTGGTTAGTCTGACCCCTACCTCATTACTGAGAGAACCAGCAATATGGGTAGGCTTTATTTTAAGTTTCCTTGAAAAAATAAAATCCCCAGTATTGAAGTCAGGGGAGCCCAGACTTTTGCCCTTTCCATGGGGCTCCTGAGTTACAGATGAATAGAAATAACAGCATTAAATTTACATTTTAAGCTAGCTTCCAGACCCTAAAAGGTTATCTCTGGTGGAAAACTTAGAACTCTTTACTTGGTTGAGGCACAGGACGCAGACTGGAAAGAAGATAGACTAACTTTTTCTTAACACTTAGAAACCGGGGCAGGTTCCTTTGTCCTTGTCATGGCATATCAGAGAAGACAACAGCTTTGATTTGCCCTCAAGTTATCTGCCCTACCTCTAATGTAGACAAAATGACTTTTGAGGCGAAAGGTTCACCAGCAGAAGCAAGGCTAGAGTACTGAAGCAATACAATAAAGCAGATCAGCATGCTACATGGCCTAACAGCCAAAAAACTCCCTGACTTCAAATTCAAGACTCCAGTGTTCTGGCCCAGCTTGAGTTGACTTGCTTGTACATCTGCGGCTGATGGACTTAAGTTACCCACTGCTCTAGGGTGAGACAGGAAACAGGTCTATGTTGGACCAGTTATTCTGGAAAGAAAAGCCCTCATGCCTGTTCTTTTACACTAATTATCTGGTTTCACTGTCCACCACTGTTCCTCTCCAGAGAAGGCATTAGCTTGCTTAGAGCTGGACATTCTATGGCATGGCACTAAAATGAGACCACCTACAACTTGAGGATGTGAGGGGGAGTCGCTCTCCAACAAGAGGGTTACGTTTGGTCTAAGGGCCAGTGAAAGGCAGCAGATGTGGCTTTTGCTCCCTTTGCCAATGGGTCATGGCAAAGTTTTATAGTAGCTACTGCCCTTCACCACAGAGTTGGCTTTACTGGGTCTGAGAGTGTATGTGGCATGAGGACCTCTGCCCCGGAGGGGATTCTGTGTAGAGTTCAGTCATCAGCCACAATGGAGAGGGCTCGGAGCTCGCTCAGCTTGGTTTCATTCTCCTGCTCCCTCTGCTCATCTGTATGACCAGGTTGGTCCAGCTGTTGGGTTAAGTCTCTGAAGATCTTGTGCATCTCAGTGTAGTACACAACCTAGGGTCAGGTGGGAAAAGGAAGGGAGAGGTTGGCAAGATCTGGACTCACTGGATAGTAACTATACCCCCCATAATCCTCCTAGGGACCAAAAGCCCAATAGTACAGTACAGTATGCCGGCAAAGTCAGTCAATAAGCATTTAAATGCTTACTATGTTCCAGGTCCTATGCTCTGGTGGGGAAGATATGAAGGCCATACCCAGGATTAAGGTTCAAAATGGGGAGAAAGGAGGGTTAAACTTGGTGTTGGCTCTACTTCCCTACAGGGATGTAGTAAGGACGCTGAAAGGGGTGGGTCACAGAGTTTACCAAGTCTAATTCTACGAGAGAAATGCTTGGGCTTTTTTTCCCTTTGGAGAGAAAACCTGTGGTAGGCTGGTGCCCCATGAAGCCCAGAACACTGGGAAGTAATACTGAAGAAAACCACAACCAGCTAACTAGAATCTGCCTTCTGGCCTTCAGTCGCCCCACCTTAGTAGTGGGTCAAGAAAATGGCAGGGCTAGCTTCCCACTTTTCCTCTTGAAAGTACAGAGAGAGGACACTAGGGCATGGGCAGAGAAATGAGTATTATGGGGTCACTACCCTCCCCATATGGGACCATCAATATCAATAAAAGCAATGTACAGCCATTCAAGTGGAACAGCCCTGAAATCATTTTGAGGGACCTTAAAAAAGTTGGTTTTTCCAATACTGGAAGGTGTATAAGGAGATTCCTATACCTCAACACTGGTTCCTACTACTACAGCCTTGTATTAGGGCATCTGATATAGGTCCCCCTATCTGCCTGCCCTCCCTTTTGCGGCAGATAAGGACCCCCCCCCCCATGCCGTTTAGATACCTGAAGATAAGTGAGCCCTAAAGCATGGGTCTCCTCACATGCTGGTCATAGTAACCTTGTCTAACTGGCACTCTGTCCTAGAGAGGTCTGGAGTTGAGAACAGAACCTAAGAAAATCCTGTTCCTTTATTCCTTATAGGGACCCAGAAAATAGGAGTCAAATCTGGAAGTTTCCAACTCCCACTATCAGCTCATCACATCTCTAGCAACCTTGCCGCAGCCTTGTAGGAAAATAGGGGACCTTGTGGGCAGCCTAAGCAGGCTAGTGGGTGGACGGGGGTGGAGGATGGTCCCCCCCACGAGCTGCACTGCGCTGGGTGAGTCACCAGGAATGCTCACTTTTACTATGACTAATGGTATCAGAATTCAGGCAGGGGGAGGGCTAGAAGCCAGTGTGAAGGAGGTGCTAAACACCCAACACCCCCCTGTACCCACCCCCACCCCCCACTCCAGTCAAAGGTTCTCAAGAGGCTAGACTCCCAGATCTGGGAGCCCTAAGGATTCCTTTTCTTACAACACCACTAATATAGTGGGAAGTCAATGTGAAATGGGATGGGATGGGAGGGATGACTATGGAGGAAACAAAGTATGATCCCCAGGTAGCAGAAGCTTACAATCTAGCTGTGCTTTAGTTCTACCTTCCAACTCCTCCTGATGCATCCCTGTGTAGACTCCTAGAGGCAGAGCTGGCTGTGAGGCTGGGCTTGTGTCGCCAAAGCCATCAGGAGACTGGCAGCAGCAGCACATTACCTCTGTGGACTTCACTCCTCCCCACTGCCCCAAGACCCATTGGGAGATCTGCTGTATCCACGTGTATACCTGGGATGTCAGGGTCTGTAGTGTGTCTGGTGGCAGGATTCTCCTAGGGCACTGACGGTCTCTAGTCATTCCTTCCACAGTTGTACCCGGAAGCAGAAGCAGGGCCAAGGACTGGAAATACTGGGGTTCTCTCCACATCCTTACTACCTGCCTCAGGGTTCCTGGAAGGAGCCTCCTACCTCTCCTACCTCTAGACGCTTGGTTTCAGGCCATCCTTAGCATCCTTTCCTATATGCCTAAGCCAGCCAGCAGGTTGAAAAGTCAATCAGGTTCCCACCTGTTATGGAACCTGTAATGTACCACATTGTCCACTAGAGGGCAAAAGATGTCCAGGTCATCAAAGAGCAACCCCCTAAATAGGAAGATGGTTAACCCCCAAACCTGGCCTGTCTGGTGCCCATCCCCAAATCAAATTTCCCACAGCCTCGGAATGGCCTGAGGTCTGGTGGAGGAAAGCTGGGCTAAACGTTCCCTGTCTTGCTACTCCATTCTTCCCAGGGATTGACTTTCCCTTCCACACGATGAGAAGAGCTGCCTCCAGACTTGCTAGGGCAAGGGGAAGGGCCAGAGAGGATCAAAAGAATTAACAGAAGGTCGGGAAGAGGCCAAGTCCCTCCAGATGCCCACTGCTGACGAACTCACTTCAGCTTAACGCTGCCTTTTCAATTCCCTCATCAGGTGGGAGGAGGGGCTGTGGCTGAGGGGCTTGAAGGCCGGAAGGCGGCAGCAACAACGCAGTGGTCCCATTTAGCAAGGGGAGGGGGTGTGAGAGCACAGGTTGGCAAGATCTGAGACCACCTCAGAGCCCATCTCTCTTCTCCCCTAAAAAGGGTTCTGACTGGCTCCTCTGAAGACGCTGCTAGCACACTGATTTCTTTCTTTTTTTTCGGTCAGGCAGTGGGGTTAAGTGACTTGCCCAGAGTCACACAGCTAGTAAGCGTAAGCTAGTAAGGCCGGATCCAGGGCCGGTGCGCTATCCACTGCGCCACCTAGCTGCCCCTTCACACTGATTTCTTTCAGTGGTCTCATCAGCTCACATATGTTCAATTATCTCTGTGTAGATGATTCCCAAGTCTATATATGAAGCTTTCATTTCTTGGAATTCCAATTCCACTGCCAACTGCCCACTGGACATCTCCACCCGGACAGTCAACTGTCGCCTCAAATTCAATATATCTCAAACAGAACTGCTTATCTTTCCCTTCAAATCTATTCTTCCTCCAAATTTCCTTACTTATGCTGAGGGAGCCCACAGACGTCTAGTCTATCAGAGTCATCCTTGATACTTCTTTTCTCTCTTACCCAATCAAACATCCCACTCTGCTCATTAGGACCACCACCCTAGTTAAGGCTTCACCATCGATCATCTCAACCACTACACTAGCCTCCTAATTGGTCTCTCTGCTTCCACTTGTTCTTCTCTTCAATCCATCTAGCAGACAACTGCCAAGTGTATGTTCCTAAAACCATGTCTGATAATGTTAGTCCCCTCCTCAAAAATCTGGACTAATACTTTATTGCCTCTAGGATGAAATGCAAATTCCCCAGGCTGGCATTTAAAGACCTTTTCAATCTGTCTCCTACTTACCACACCAGGCTAATTTCATATTAGTCCCTTTCACATTGTTCAAGCCAAATTGGCTTACTAGTTCTCCCTTAAACTACTAGCTGTACCCTAGACTTAACTTGTCATCTCTTGCCTCCATTCCCCATGTTTGGGATGCATCTCTTCTTCCTTTCTGCCTTTTAGACTCTCCAGTTTCCCTCAAGGCATTGGCTCAGGCACTGGCTCCTAAACAAGGGTCTTTCCTGATTGCCTCCACCCCCATCTGTCAGTGTGGTCTCTTTCTCCTAAAATGACTTTTGTATTTACTCGTATCTCCCTGGTAGAACAGAAGCTACTTAGAGATAGGGCCTCCCTTTGCACTTCCAGAGCCCAGTGCATGCTGCAGGCAAAGCAGCCATGGAAAGACTGAGGTTCCAATTCTAGCACCATCACTTCCTAGCTGTGCAATCACACATGAGTCACTTGGGCTTTCTGAGTCACTGTTTCTTCTCTGTAAAGTGGGGACAACCCTAATCATGGCAGCACAGTGTAGTAGATGAACCACGGGTTAAGTCACTTAACAATCGTAAATGACCAACTGAGCTGCTTGTTTAAATCTGTGAAGGAAGTTTCTCCATGCTGAAGAAATCACAGAATGGACAAAAAGAAAACATACTATCTACCACACAGTTGTGAAGAAACCTTAAAGTGTGACATAACTGTTACCACCATCATTATCCCATTACCTCTAGGCCTCTAGGTCCTAGTCCCCCAGGCAGCCTCTTTAGGGTCACACAAAACAGGTGTATGCCTCGGAATGCTACTGGCTCCATCAGGTTTGGAGAAAGGGGTACTTCTCTCCAGTTCTGGCCTCTATTCCTCAGCCATGAAGCAAAACTGAAATCCAAATTCATCCCAAACCATGCCAATCTGGGCTCCTCTTAGATGGTTCTAGGATGCTGAGAGTTGAATTCCCTAGCTTGGAGTCACATGGATGTCCCTGCTCTCACTCTGTTGCTTATCCTTCCAGTGGGGAGTCTGGGGGGCTGCTCAGAAAGCTCAGTCTTACCTGGGCCCGGATCAGTGACTCAAAACTTGGCTGGAAGTAGTCAAGTCGGCTGCTGTAGAAACGAGGCATCTCCTCTAGAAGCTGTCTGTTCTTGGCTTCAAAGTCGTCCTTCACAGGCCGAAGCTCTTCTCGTACCTGCCCGTTGTGGGTTCGGTCAGGGTCCCAGCCCGGGCAGTGGGGGTGTCTATCCCACCCTTTCTCCTCAAGGAGCCAAATTCCCAGGGAAGGGTGGAGAACCCACCTGGGGAGCTCCCCCCCCAGTTGTGTTTCAGCTGGCCCCCTTCCTCACCTGCCAAGCCTCTGGCCCTGGCTTTTGTTTTGTTCTGTTTGTTTGTTTGTTTGGGCAGTTCCAGTACCTGGTGGAGTTTGGCCAGGACTGGCCCTGTCTTTTCCTTCTCCTCATACTTTTCCACCCTGGACTGCAGCCGTTTGTAGTCCTGCAGGGCTTGTTCCCGCCTTTTCACCGCCATGTTGAGGCTGGGGAAGACACTGCCAAACCTGCCAGAAACGGGGTAGGCAGATGAGCAGAGGCTGCACCATTACTCCTGCCTGGATACTACCAGGAGGGGAGGAGAGAAAGAGCACAGCTTATAGAGACTCTCGAAAAGGCCTTAGAGACCACCGAGTGTAACCAGCCCCGTCACAGTACAGAGGAGGAATCTGAGGGTCAGAGGAGTCCTGCGTTCTGCCCAAGGTCACCCAAGCAGGAAGGAGCTGCATGCAGACTAACTCCAAATTTCCTGTGCTTTTAACCACTAGACTTCAGCGTCCTGGCACGAAGCCTCAATGATAAAGGAAGGACTAAAGGCATCAGCACTCCCAGCACCTTACAAGCGGATGAACAAGTATGATACTTTGTACTTGCTAGGCAGGTCAGTAAGTGTGTTCAAAGTGCTTTTACATTCATTATCTCGTTTGAGTCTAACATTAGGAGCTAGGTAGGGTAGGCTTTATAACATAGCCACTAGCCTACAAAATTATGCATGAGAAGAATATCACAGAACTGTAAGGGCCCTTGGAGATGATCTAGGGCAAATTCCCTCATTTCACAGAAGTGGAAACTTTCGCAGTGGCTTGAGGCCAGACCACTTGGTCACAGCAGCAGTGGCACAGTGGAAAAGATCTCTGGAGTTCTGAGCAGAGGGCCTGGGTGGGAATTCCCATTCTACTCTCCTTTGTGACTGGGGGCACATTTACTTATGCTCCGGGCCTTTTCCACTACTCAGACTTATGGAAAACAGGATCCATGACCAACTAGACTAGACTATAAACCTAATGGATCTGACTTTATAGAGAAGTCACTCATTGATCTCCAGGACCTCCTGCCTCTTAGACATCAACTGTGAGGGCTTTGCATTATTTCTGTGACTAAGATAGGCACCAGAAAAGCCCAGAGCTTTGGGACCATTTGATAAGCTACCAATAATTCTGCCATTTCAAAGTAAAGGAACCATTGATTTACCAATTGTTCTGAACTGAAAACCTCAAAGTTGGCAGCCCACGGTTGTTGTTCAGAAGACCCCTGGAGCATTTTAAGTGCCCCTCAGATATTTACATTGAAAGACTGTAGAGATGGAGGCAGAAATGAATTTTTTTCCTTGGGAAATCTAGAAAGGCAGTTCTTGAGGTCTTAGCTCTTTTCACTAAGACCCCATATGAGCTCTGGATCCAAAGTACTATCATCTATATGGATCCAACTGAACATATAATAATGCTTGCACTAATCACGCTACACTGAAGTTTTCTCCAAACTTGAAACATGATCACCACTCAAACAAAAAAATTAACAAAACATTGTACATGAGTTAGAGAATTATTCAATGATGCCTGAAACCTGGGCAAAGGAAGAAGAAAATATGAAGCTGACCAGAGATGGAAATCATCAACTTGCTCACATGGGGCTTTTCTGTAAGCAAAGAAAATCTTTTGAATAAACCATGTTCCTCTACTGAAGTTTTCCTCAAATGCTTCATCATGGGTATGGGTGGGGGTGTGTGTGTGTGTGTGTGTTACAGACATAGATAGATAGATAGATAGATAGATAGATAGACAGACAGACAGACCCTGACTATGCCAGCACAGGAGGACAAAGATCTGGCAGGATCTGTCCAGCTGGAGAAGTTTCTGAACAGGCACAGTAAGAAGCTGCATGTCGGGTAGCTAAAGAGCAGCCCAGCTAAGTAGGGAGAGGCTTTTCACTCTGCGGGTGGCCACAACAACTCTTGAAGACCATCGTCTACGTTACAGAGGGATCATAAGCAGTACTGGTGGAGAGAATATCCATACCAACAAAATGACAGATTCTTTAAGTGTGGAAGTAAGTAAACCACAGCTGGGGCTTGTTCCAAAAGCATGGCATTCGAAGTTTCACTACCTTCAAATCAATCGCTGCTGCCCTGAACGAGCTTTCCTCACTAAACTGGGAATGTCAAAGGTATAGTGTTTTCTGTCAGTCAGTACCATTGGAGTCTAGTGTAACATGGTGATTCTAAAAACCATGGGGTGCAATCTAGAGGGGGACTGATTTCAAGGAACTCATCTCAATACTTTTGAACTGGCACCTCGGGTTGTTACTATGAGGCAGTCTGAGAGAAAGATTTCTGGCCCACCCCTTCTCTCCCTCTCTCTGAGAGGACTATGACAGACAACTGACAAATCACATGATTCACAGAAGGCAGTGTAGGCAGAGCTGTGAATTCACTAAGGTGCTCCCACTGGGGAGTAAGTCATTAGAACAGCCCCATTGGAAAGGTCTTAGTTCTGGGGCTTTCATCAGTTCCACAGCCTCTGGCCTCTGACTTGTCACAGGAAAGGAAGACAATAAGAATTTGACACAGGTGAGTGAACTCTCCAGTGGTTTCTCCTGTGTTGTCCTTGACAGCCTACTTTCCATCCTACTACTTTAGGAAAGAGAAGACATCTCTTTGGAAGAGATAATGTAACATGAAAACACTTCGAAGGCAGAAGGCACTCAGTAAAGTCTCAGTTATCAGGAGAGGTGTTGTGATGGAGTGGAAAGGGCACTTGCTGTAATTGGAGTCAAGGGAAAACCTAGGTTAAATCCTAGCTACCAAGACTTAGCCCTGTGATACCGGGTAAGTCGGGCCTAGTCCTGTGATTCAAGCCAGTCACCTTACCTTTTGGACCTTTGTTTTTACAAAACTGCACTAGCTGCCTCCCAGATTTATAAACTTTTAAGCCCTGTAGAAATGTGAGTTGTTCTTGTCCGGAGAGAAAAGACCAATCCAGTACGGAAATAGTTAATGGTCCTTCCTTAGGGAGCACTAGCTCCCTGGTCCACCAGCATATCCCCCCTCCCCTCTACAATTTATCTTACAGCGTACATTTCCCAAAGCCATGGTCACACCCACCCGGAGGAGTGACTTGGCAAGTATCCACTGGTCTAGGGGCATAACACTCATTTTTAAGGGAGAGAGAGCCTAAGTACCCTAACAAACCCATTACGTTCTCATCTTGGAAATTAGTCCAGCCTCCTCCATAGAAGTCAATTCACTATTCTAACATTTCTTTTTCATGATTCTTGTTTTGCCCCCTGATGCTGACGACCCTATGCCAAACCAGGATGCCAGGGGTGGGGCGGGTGGGTATGAAGCCAAGATGGCAGCCAGGATGTTACCCTGGGAATCTAAGATGTAGTGAGTGGGGACTGTAGACTTTGCTCCCGGTGTGGCCAAGCAATGGTGGTCCTCGGCAATTCTTTCATGAGAACCTTTGTGATGGGATCTTCAGCTCACTGTTAGGCACTGACGAATGACCAAAACTTCTGGGACTCTTTCCAGCTCTTCCTTTCTCTGAGATTTTCCATGGCTTACTGCAGGTTAATCACTAATAGATTTCCACTCATATGGATACACTCAACTTTGGCATTCCCCTTGGGGGTTGATTTCATGTCTTCCTTGGAGTGGAGAAACTGAGGCAGAGCTTGGGGGGAGGGCACAGCTTAAACCAAGGCTTCTGATAAGTCAGTGGTGGGACCAGGAATCAAGAATTCCTGGCTTTCAGTACTGGCCCACTCAGCCCCCACCTCTCTACTCTCTATTTATAGGAGATGGAACAGTCTTCACCAACTCCCAAGTTGTGGGCAATATAAATAACCACGATGTTGCAAAAGGAGTTGGTTTGAAAGCAGGAAACCTCAGAACTGGCCTACTGCAGTTTGGAAGAACACAGGTTTGGGGGGTAGTATGGTACAATGGAAAGCACACTGGATACGGAGTCAGAGAATCTGGGTTTGAATTTTGACTCTGCTACTTAGTACCTTGGTAGGGGGTGAGGTGGTGGGCACATCATTTAACCTCTGTCTAAATTTCCTCATCTGTGAAATAAGAGAATTGGATTAGATAACCTCCAAACTCTGAACTGAGGATCCTATGATGGGACCAGGCTAGTTCCAAACACCTGAGCACCCTCTCAGCGATGGTCCGAGGCAAGACGTTCATGCTGGCTTCTCCCCCAGGAAAGACACAGCTTTTAAGGCCCTGTGACAATCTGACTGCCCCTCCCAGTGCTCTCTCTACTGTCCCATGCTGCCTCACATGGGTCCTTATGGTGGTTAGTTTTTCATCTGTAACATTTTATTTTCTCTACTGGAGTGTAACTCCTGGATAGCACTGCACATAGTAGGTACTCATTAGGGATTTGATTCTTTATTTTGTCCATCTCTTGCCTGTCCCAGGGCTGCCTAACAAACTCCCTCTCCTGGGTAAGTGTGGGGAAGGAGGGAGAGAGAGGCCGGCTGGGAGGTGGGTTGGGAGCAGCCGGCCCTGGTGGGGAATGCCTGCCATTCCTCAATCTGTGCCCACACAACCGGGATCTTCCACCCACCAGGAAAGGGAAATTAAAAGCATCCCAATCCAACTAGAGCCCGGAGGAGCAGAACACCCAGCTCAGAGAATGGGGGATTAGAGGCCGAGCCCCCTGGAGGTGGGAAGGAGGCTGTGAGGGGGCAGCCATGTGGCCATGTTCTTCATTAGGGGAGGACAGGAAAGCTGCTGTTTCCTGCTTCCGGTCCTGGGGTCCCCAGGAGGCTCCCCACTACCAAGACGGAAGCAGGAAGGGAGGGTGGAGAGGGGGTGCAGCCAGCCTTAGTTTGATGTGGTCAAGGAGATTGCATGTCGCCTGGGGTGGGGTGAAAAGCTAGTCTACAGGCTCATGGGGAGGTCAACGGATCTGCCCAGGGAGATCTCAGCTTCCACCCCCTGCCACTCGCCCACCTTCCTGGCAGGTGGTGGGCTGCCATGGTGGTGGGAAGCAGCCGGGATTTCTCTCAGCTGGGCACCAGCTACAAAAACCAGGGTCGGGGATTGGATTTCAAGGCTGCTTGGTGCGTGTGAAATTGAGTCAGAAGCTCCCAGAACTGGCTTTTCTTTGCCTAGATCTGTCAGGCCCCGAGTGCCTAGCCCTGTCCTTCTGTCCTTTTTTACCTGCCACAGGCCAGCTCAGATACCTTGTGCAGGTTAATATTGACTACGTTGTCCTTAATGAAGCACGATCTCTGGGCTACGACTTCTGATGTCCAGAAGACTACACAAGGACAGGGACTGCTCTGCTGCCCACCTGCCTTCCTGGCTTTCTGTGAAGTCTTATCTCAGGAGGCTGGGGTGCCAAACCACAGAGCTGCCTGATTTATTTAGATACTGGCTTCCTGACCAGTACAGCTGCCTGTCTCTTGTCATCTCATGAGCCTCTCTCCACAATAGATCCAAACAATATACCTCATTCTTCTTCTTATCCTGGTATTTTGGGTTGAGGGGTGACTGGGGGAGGGAAAGTGATTAACTTTGATAGTAGGAGAGAAACTGCTCTGAGTTATAGGCCACTGCCTTGGGTTACACTTAAGTCTTTCAATCATTTCCTGGAAAAGCTGGTGATTAGGAAAGGTGAGAAAGAACCCCTTCCAGGGGTTAGGAGAACTACCTCCTAACTCTACCCCCTGGACCTGGGCAGGGGCAGATAGTTTATGATTCCCTAAATACAAACGGTTAGACTGAGGATCAAAAACTGTTCTAAGTTTGGGGACCCTGATCTAGCTCTAATGATAATTTAGCAGATCCTGCTTATCCAGGTCCCAGATGAGTCAACTGCAAGGGACCACCATAGAAGAAGTAATAATGTGCAGCTGTTGAACTGGAGCCTGAATCCTTTCTAGGTCAAAGCCAGTTTGGGAGAGGCCAGAGAAGAAGATGAAGTGAGGTGGGAGCTTCAAGGGAGCTTTCCTGTCTCCTGCCACCCCCACACCTACTTTTTCCCCTCAACTTAGGGGACCTAGGGAGCAAGTCTGTCTCTCTGATCATCAGCTGGAGGCACTCCCAACAGAGCAGATGGATCCCACTGCAGAATTTATGAGCCTGATGGGTCATGAATTATGAGGCCTTTCCAGTCAAACAATCCTGCTGGTGCTCCCCCCACCCCATCTCCCCTGCCCAGCCGCTCCCTTATTTCAGAAGTAGAATACTCCAAGACAGCTGTTCTTCCACTCCTGACCAGAGATGAAAGGCCTCCTGCACCTCCATTCTGGGCCAGCCAAGATCTCTGCTAGCTTAATTTGGCAAGTTCAGGCCCTACTGGGTCTTGAGCAGACAGCAAAAGGGAAAGAGCCAAATGACCATGCTTGGAATGGCAGGTAGAGGCTTGGCTGCCTCAGGTTTCTACAAGGACAAGCAGCTGCATGACAGGGACCAGAACTCTGGGGGAATCACAGGTCCTGTGGCCTTTTTGGATTGTCCCTTAGCAGTTCAGTTTGGTCCTCAAACTGCTGCCAGCCTGCTCAACTTATCCCTTGCCCACTGCCAACCCCACTTGAGTTTTCTCCTTTATAAAGTGAACATCCTCAGCAGAGCTCTTTAAGAATGTCAACCCTCAGGGATGGCTGCTACTCACTTTTTTAGGGGCTCAATCACGGTCTTTTGGATCTGGTTCACCTGTCAAAAATAAAACACAGTGAGGTCAAATTCTGATGGCAACGTAGTTGTTCAGGCATTCAGGTTCCACTTCCTCTGACTAAATTATGAAGCTGGTTTGTAATGGACATAGAGACCAGAAGGTCTGAAGAGGGAGACAATGTTCTTTACCTCTTCCATGATCATGTACCAATCCCCCCTCGATGGCCTGCCACTCCCCAGGACAAATGATGGCCAATTAGATGACATGGACATCTTTGAGGGCAGGGAATGTAGTGTTTGTGTCTGTGTCCCCAGGATCTAGCATAGTGCCTTTTACATAATAAGTGCTTAATAAATATTGTTGAACTGAATGAAAAGAAAGTGCTAGTCATATCTGAGACTACAACAAGTCTGTGTGGATAGCCACAGAGATCCACTGGGCTCAGGCAAAGACTTCCTACCTATCACTGGATAAGAGTCAAAAGTGGCACTGCACATGGCATCAGTTATGGTTTACATGGCGTTACAGCTATTAATGTCAGCCTCAACACTGATCTAATCTGGCACCTCAAATAGTTATCAGCTCAGCGGCCCTCGAGGCTGAAAGAGCTGTAGGAGGAATCCCGGTAGGACTAAGCCAGACAAATACTAGGAGACATTTTAGCTTGGGCAATCACACAATACAGAAGTATCTCAAGAGGAGAGGGCTAACTGGAAATGAGAACTGGGGCCTGTTGTGGATCCTAAAAGAGCTGCCCAGTGGTTTGAAAGAAGACATGAGAAGAGAGGAAAAGGAACACCCTTGGCTGCAGAAGACCTCATCACCTTCTCCTGGTTAAAGGCATCCATCCGTTTCATGGCTGTATCTAGCGCAGTCACCATGTTTAAAAATTCCTGGTCTTGCTCACAAAGTGGGTTGGAGAGGAGATCAGAAGAGATCTTCACAGCTGATTTGGACATGGCTGTGGGAAGGGAAAGCTTAGAAGTTGAATGGAAGGCCAGAAAACAAGGTTATTTAAGCCTCTATCTTTCTAGAGTCCAGATAACAAAGACCACTTTCACATTAACACTTCAAATTTTACTGCCCACATATCTGGTGGCTAACTTGCCAGTCATGAGAAGGGCAAGAAGGGGGAAAATAGCAAGCCAGAGCTTGAGAATTAGATACTAATGGCTATATAGTGCTTTTCATGTAACAAAATAACTTAGGTCTTTGGATCCTGACAACTCCAAGAAATAGGTAGTGCAGGTATTACGATTTTCATTTTATAGATGAAGAAACAGTCTGGGAGAGGTTAACTGACTTGCCCCACATGACACAGCTAATAAGTGGCATGAACAGGACTCAAACCAAAATCTTTCATTATCTCCACATTTTGTGATGGTCTTGGAGGAAAGCTGGCACAGCACAGGTCATTTAGCTTCTCCCAGCGTGGGCCAAAATCCCACTGACACACATTTGCCCTATGTTCTCCTTCATAAGGATCATAGATTCTCAGAGTCAAAAGATTCTTAAGTGATAATAGACAGCATGTCTGATAAACAGTTACTAGTACTCTATCTTTGCTTTATACAGCAACCCTTTCTATTTAAATTATACCATTGGTCCATATGGAGCAACAAAAGATAATTCCAAATAATGCATCGTGTATTTGTTAATGCTAAAATACAGCTACTACTATCTCTTTAATTTTCTTCTCTAAGCTAAGTGTCCCCAGTTTTTTCAATTGCTTCTCCTATGATATGGCTTTAAGGATCCAAGCCATCCACTTCTTCCTAAAACGTGATGCTTAGAACAAAATACACTATTCCTCATAGAAGTGAATACTTGTTAAAATGGTAACCACTTCAGGCTGCCATTTAAAAGTGACTGGAATTAGGAATTAAAGAGACCTAGCCTTTGGTCCCAGTCCTGACCTTAGGGAAACCACATGTAAAATAACATCACATCATCCACCTCAGGATCACAGTATCAAGTGAGATAAGTGATGTGAATAAACTTTAAAAATATATTGCCATATACTGTATTAAGTTTTATCATATAATACTGTCTCAAGTGACTAAATTTAAAGAATTTCCTTTGGGGATTTTGAGGAATGGGATGGTTACCCACTTGGTATGATATAGTTAGGATTGAGTCTAGAGGCAAAGGTATAAGTTTTTTTAGTTCAATGAATCTATGATAAGATTCTACGAAAGGACAGAATATCCACATTCTTTATTAAAAAACACCAGGGACAGTGCTGGGAAAAGAACACTTACAGGTCCTCATCCTTTACTGGTTTTAAAATCTATAAAGATTTTAAAAACAAATTCTGTAAGTGACAAACAGGATGGGCTAGAGTCATGTTACGCAATAGAGAATGGGCATAAAATTTCCAGCTAGTGTTTGCTACACAGTCCCTGGCATAGGGTCTAACTATTTCTCAGAAAAAAACAAGAGTAATTCTGTGGTATATCTTCTTAGTAAATCATTCAAAGTACTTTTAAGATATACTCTAAGAAGCAGTGAGTTCATCTCTCCATCTCATAGATGGTGGAAAAAAATCCAAGTCACATAGGCCTGTGCTCAAGTCAAAAATGGAATCCATGAGTTGATGACTATAAATCTAATCTTACTACCACTTTGTGTTTCTTCTCTCTCTGCAACTAGGGATACCTACAGAAGGGGGCTATTTTTACACAAAACAATACAAAGTATGGTAGGAGACAGGGATGTAAAATTCCTAGAAATGCTGAAGACATGGAGAAACTATCTTAAAAAAAAAAAAAAAAACAGGGAAATATATGTGTGTGTGCATAAAACAATTTATTTGGGGGAATAACACATAATATACATTTTTAGTACCTTTTATGATCTTTAAAGTAATTTTGTTAGTTTAGAAACATAGTGCTTAGCACAGTTCATGGCACATAGTTAAGCACTTAATAAATGTCTATTGATTGATTATAATCTAGTTTGCTCGTAAAATAGCATGTTCAATATAGGACAAAGACCTGAGGGAGGGGAACTGTTTCATTAAGAACAAAAAAGTCCTCACAAAATTTTTTCTTCCAATTTTCCGCACCCATTCCCTGACTCCTACTTTTCCACATTTCTAGGGGGGAGATAAATCTCTTCTTTGCCAAAATTATAGGCTATTGTGTGGCAAAGTGTTTGGAGTCATTAGTTTTGCTTAGGCAATTAGCCACTGGGAAAAGCTGAGCCAGGCATCTGCTTATAATGTCACCATCTTATGAAGTTGTCTTTGGTGGGATTGAAAGCCAACTTGCTAGGCTGGTTAGAACAGGGTGCTAACCAAGCCACGTACAAATTCCATTTCCATAAGAGTTAATTAGCTATGCTCCACAGCCACAGACTACATCTTTTAACTTTCAAAGATATGGTGCTAAGACAAAGGGCATGGACTAAGTGATAGTTTATGGCTGATCAGGGCAAATACATTGCTATTATTTGAAAAATTATTTAGAAATAATTCCTTTCTGAGAGTGGATGACACACTTAAAAGAATTCCTTGTGTTTACTGAACCTGGCTTTTTTGATGAAAAAATTCCTCACTCCAGCTCTTGGCCAGGGAAAGGGAGATAAGAGAGGCTGTAAAGAAAAAGGTGCCATGCAAGATGTACCATGTTAAGAAAGATCACGAACCCTTTAACATTAGGACTTAACATATACTGGAGAGACATCTAGGGCACAAGGGTAGAGGTAGCCTTTTCACTGCACAGAAGAGGAAGGTGAAGGTCCATTTTTCACAGAGCCCAGGGTTAGATCACCTGGGGTCTTATTTGCTAACGTGCAGTTTCACCAGTCCAATGTCAGGCAAAGGTCCAGTCTTGATTGATAATTACACACAGTAACCTTTCTGTGAGATGGTAGATCAAGTTTTCAGGTTTTTTTCTCGCTGAGTTGAAGGGAACCCAGGGGGCGTCAAGGAAGGGATATGTGAGATTCATCAAAGCCTGGCCTTTGGAGTCAGTGAAGGAATCATCTCTTTAGGACTGGGGACAGCTAAGAGCAAATAACAGCCTTCTTTACCTTTATTGCTTTCAAGTGCTCTGAGGCCAGTAATTCACTTCTGGGATTCTGGCATTATCTCTATGACCCTGGTATCAGTGTGGCTAAAGCAAGGACACCAACAACACTGTTGAAGCCTACAGTTTATATAGTCAAAGGAAACAATTTATTAGCAACTGTAAGCAAAAGCTTGAATACCACTACTTAAAGAGGTGGACCATTTCCTTCATTTTTTAAGGTTCTTTATTTGAGGAATAAAGAGTCTTAATTCCAGCTATGAAAATTCAGTAATGCTAACATCCCGAAAGGAAAAGAAGCACTGAATCACAGATCCAGTGAAAGAAGTAACCTTAGTTAGCCATCGCTTCATCAAATTCCATCCAATCCCTACATGACTATAATATAGCCTGGCATTTGTATTGTGTTTCACAAACTATCTGCAAAGCAATTTCTCAAACATAACAAGAGTCCATGTTTATTTAGCACTTTAATGTTCACAAAGTGATTTTTCACAATAGTTTGAGGGAGAAAGGGAAAGTATTGTCATCTCCATTTATAGATAAGAAAATTGAGACTCAGAGAAGCGACATTATTTGCCCAAGCCACAAGGGAAACGAGCAGGTGAGTCAGACTTAGAAATGGTACTATGTTCCTTCTACTGTACTAGGATTCCTCTATAATGGATAATTCTCCAGACCTTCCCTTTGTCCCCAACCCCTACCTCCCCTCTACCCTAACCCTCAATGTTGAAAAGGTGAAGAAAAAGAGAAATGAGAAAAAGAAAAAGTTAGTTCCAACTAAGTTGAATTATTTTAAAAATCCAGCATTTTCTTTAAGTGCCATTTTTTCCCTGGTTGGAACCAAAAACAGAGGCTAGGAATGAGTTATGAGTCAAGTATGGAACAACTCAAATAATCTGGATTAATGTGGTGTGAATTTCCCTGGCTTAAACCAAGGGGTTTAGCTATAGATGGAGCCAGTTTATATCAGGGCTTCTGTTTATATTATTTATATTCAGGTCACTGTTTTGGGGGAAACGGCATCTTATTTTTTGCAGCTCATTATGATCAAATGAGATACATTGTAAAGTGCTTTGCAAACCTTAAAACACTATATAAATGTTAGATATTATTAATGTTATTATTGTTATTATTATTATTACCCTTAATAGGATGTGGAACCCCTTTGCATAAGTAAAAAGCCTGTGACAGAAAACATATACAAGGGTATTCCAAAAGTCTTAATGCAGTTTTAAACTATTAAAATACACTCTGTATTCCATTCACATTCGAACCAAAAGGGCAAACGCTACCAAGGTCATATTGGGAGTATCTGATACTGCAGAAAAGAAATACATTAATATGTAAATACTCCCTTTGTGGGGAAAATGGGTAGGATCTATAGAGTGGCAATGGGAGTCCACATTGCCCTTGAAGAGGAGGAAAATGTTGAACACTGTGCTAACCCAGTGTTGGTTCTGGTCTGCCTTTTTCAGGAATGTCTGGAGCTGGCAGTCTATAGAAGGTAGGCTCCTCCACCCTAAATTCTAGGGACCCTTATGGGAATTCCTGGAGAGCTGCCTAAAACCCCAAAGGACATACCTTACATGGGTGGAGTGGGCCCCACTGAGCAGCTGCCACTGACCACTCCCTACAGACTCCCAGCATGCTCTTCTCTGTTCCATGAAAAATGGTCTCACAATACTAATTAATTATTTACTAAGTGTGGCCTGAGGAGTAAGGCAAACCTGGTTTCTAATTCTCTCGGCTCCCTGTAGGAGCTTACATGAATTACTTCCTCTCTTGTGTCTCATGATGTGGATGGAGGTGCAATAAGGGCAGTCCAAGCTGGAACATTCAATCGGTTTCATCAGAGAACTGAATGGCTAACAAGGGCCTCCAACTGGGCAGCCTGAGTGCTATTTCAGAAAATGCTGCCAAGGAGCCACAAGAGTATCATTGTGGCCCACCAAAAAGAAGACTTACTCTTGATCAACTTTTACTTTCTCTGAAATCTTCTGGTCACAAAATGATAGGGCCAAAGAATGTTAGAGTGAGAAAGCATCTGGGAGATCATTTAGTCCAAGCCCATCACTTTACTGAATGGGAAACCAGTCTCCCTAGGTGTTTCTCCTGTCATTTCTGCAAGGAAAAACTTTATGTACAAGTTAGATGGGACTCCTTGGAAGAGGAGCCTCAATGAACAGCTACACAGTTCTGACATGTTCCTCTGTTCCAAGAAGAAGGCTAGTGCTAATTAGCATGACAATACTAATTATCTATAAGTTGGGTTTTTTTCCTTTTTTTAAATGCAAGAGCTCCAGTATATAGTTTCTTTTCATTCAAGAGTGACTCTTGGTAAGAGATTTGCATCGACTTTTGGCTGGCTCCTGTTAATTTCCACACACGAGACCCTCTCAGATCTTTCAGAATCTTTAGTAAATGAACTAAATACAGGGCAGTGTTAAAGCATTCTTAAACCTGTCTGTCATAGAACTACATGTTTTAGTCCACATGACCTTCTTCCTCTGTCCTTCTCAAATCCATTTTCTGAGATAGCTCTTTGCTCCTGAAAAGCAAATCACCTACTTCCCAGGGGATCTATTGTAATTTTTGTCAAAGTTCATATCTGCAAGGGCCTGAAAGGAGGACAGAAGAGAGCAGCCTAAATTCCAATATGCCAGAGACACTTTCAGCTTAAAGTCCAAGTTAACTGTGATGGTACTCCTATCCTCCTTGCTTCAAGCTCGTCAAACTTAGTACCAAATCCAAAAGGACCCTGAAGTCAAAGAGAGCCTCCTGAGAAGTAAGGGAAGAAGGAGAGTTTTGGTAAGAACAGTAAGTTTGCTCTGATGAGGAATGGTTAACCTAGGGCCAACTGTCAGTCAGTATTTTTGGAGGAGTCATCCCAAAGCTAGTCCCCACAACAAATGGGCTTGGGGTTCTGTGGGAGAGAAACCTATTTATTCTCTATGTCATTTGCTCCCCTCCAACTCTTAGGCCCTAGCAAGGTGGGGTGGGACTACCTACCCAGATCAGCATCGGTGCTCTTTTTCAGGTCCTTCTGCAGCTTCTTGGTCTGATCCTCCAGCCTGAAAAGGAGACAAAGAGGACTTGATTTCTGGCTCCTCTGAGCTTCTTTTGGTTCCTAAATCCAACCTTTTCCTCTAGGATGCTGCTAGGGAAGAGGGGTTCATTTGCTATGGAGATTTGCAATCTAACCTAAAAGATAACGTATTCTACAGGATTCCCTAGATCATCCCTATCAATGAAGACTTGAGGAATATGGGGATCTGGCAGTATAATGAACTGCCCTGACAGTATACTAATGGGGGTGTTCTCCAAGTCACTAACAGAGCATCAAACAAATGTTACAACTACAGAAATTAAACAGAATAGAGCTGTCTCTCCCCCCCTGGAGTCGTTCCACCTCCTCTCCTGGAGTTGATCACTTACTGCTGGAGTTTTCCATATTCCCTTTCAAAGTCTCTTTCCACCTGTAATGAAAGACAACTCAATCATCAAAGAAATGACAACGTTGGAAAAAAAATCAGCCCTTATTTCAAACAATATACGATAATCATCCCCCACCTAAGCCTCCAGGAAGCAACACTGTTTAGTTCATACAAGTACTGACAGTTCTCCAATGACAAATTCTCTTTGTGTTCCTCGACTAATTAATTGCTTGATTCAGGGATAAAACTCCTCTCCTATATGGGCCTTCTAGGCAAATACCAGAAGATTGTGACCTTATTCTCCCACCAAAGGGGCATGGGCACAAATTTTTTCCCCTCTACTCCCAGAGTAGAGAAAGAAGAAAATTCCTGAAACTATCTGGCTGAGGAGATAAAGTCAAACTTTTGCTTATTTAGCACATTTTTCATACACATTTTTCATAGAACTGGATCTATTTGTATGTTGGTAGTTCAGCTACCTGCATGCCAGATGAAGTTAAAGGTCCTTCTCTGTTTTCTTGTGAATCAGTTTCCTCATCAAAAAAATGAAAACAATAGCCTAACTTCACTATTAGCTTTCTATAGGCAATATTCAGCTTATCTGGGATGTTAGATGAAACAAATAATGTCTGAAAGGTAACAGGAAGTACTAAAAGAAAGCAGCTAGAAGCATATATTTTTACTCTAACCATTTTCATGTGGAGGAGATAAATGGATGTCCCTGCTCAGAAAAGTAAATGTCATAGACATGACGTGGTGAACTTTCATATAGCCCCTCTCCAATAAGAGGATTCATGTATGCTTCTCTCTTATCAAACTTGCTCACCTAGCATTCCTCTTTGGGAGGATGTGCTTACTGATGGAGTCAAGATTTTGTTTGGTTTTAACAAAACTGCCCTCATCTGCCCCAAGGCAAAAAAATCCTGCCATTTTATAGTCACTGAACAGAAAACCACCAGAATGTCAGGGGTCATTAGAGGAAGGAGGGCATGTCCCTGCCAGACTGACAGGGGCCTTTAAGACCACACTCTGCAGAGGAACCTATCCTTTACATACTTCCTTCAAACTCATCCCTTCCACGAAGATCAGCCTCATTAAGCATTATCCTAAAGCTACACCAATCTTACTACACACGCTGGGTTATGTATTGATACAAATTCAAGGTAAAGCTCAATATAAACTATTCAGCCATAGAATGTCAGGGCTTTCTGGTCAAATCCCTCATTTACAGAGGAGGAAACTCGGGCCCAGAGAGAGCAAGAAGTGACTTAATCGAAGGTCACAGAGCCAGTCAGTGGCAAAGCCAGGCTTAGAATACAGGTCTCCAGAGCTCTACAGAGCTCTCTCTCCTGTTTCCTTATACTTCTCCTTTGATAACTGTCAAGTTGCCTTATCTCTTCTATGCTGATCAGCTTAGAGGACAGAGATGTAGTTTCCTCATTTGATAGACTGGCAACTAGAACCTGTGCCAGACCCTGGCAAAATTATAAAGTCGGCTAAGTTTTGTCTTTGGTGACCCCAGTCTTCCAGATCTGCATTCTTTTCCCTCTGCAGTGAGGTCCCTCACTTTTCTCAATCAAGTGCCCAATAAATGTCCTTATGCTTTCTTCCCTTCCCTGTTTCTCCCCCTAAGAAAATCTATTCTCAAGGGAATGAGCTGAAATTTATTAAGGTATAAATAATTACTAATAGCTTAAATAGTACTGTCCCTCTCAGGGGAATATGCATTTTTAAAAACCTGGATCAAATGAGATAATGAATATACAAGTACTGTGTAAACTATAGAGTGCTTTGTGAAACATAATGTGTTGTTATCACTGTTCTAGTAGGAAGTCTTAAGCTAAAGTAGTGATGCTCCTGTGATGGAATTTCTGGCATCAATGAGTCAGTGGGAAAGATGTTTGGGGGGTAGTGAGGTCTTACCTATGCTCCTGAAATCATAAAACATACATAGTTACCTACTTGGAAAGATACTATGATAGAGATCAGACAGATTTGGGTTCAAAGCCCACCTCCATCAGTTCATAGTTAATATAATAACCAGCATTTATATAAATGCTTTAAGATTTGCAAAGGACTTTATATACATTATCTCATTTGATCCTCACAACAACCCCTGAGAGGTAGCTGCTGTTATTACCTCTATTTTACTGATGAGAAAACTGAGGCAGAGAGAAGTGAAGTGTCTGAGGCAGGATTCATGAAGACCTGAACTCAGGTCTTCTATACTGCAGGCCCAATGCTTTATGTATTCAGTGGTCTTTAACTTGACCAGTTTTGTGACCATGGACACAGAACTGCCTAGGACAGTCTTAGACATTTAGCAAAATACTGTTAAGAGATTTTGCACGACACTAACGCTATTTTTAAAAAGGGAGAACAAGTATTTTGAGGGTGAGTGGCGCACCCCAAATTACCCAGTAAGCTGGTGGCTAGGGTTATGCTTGGAGTCCAGAGCCGTGCTTCCAGTCAAGCCACCAGGAGGTGGCAGGTGAGTAGTGTGTTGTTATATGTTAGGTCTACAGATGAATTTTAGCATTTTAACTCTGCCAGAACCAATCCCTAAGAGGGTGAGAGCAGAGTGCAGGTGGTTTCTTGGAGGGGAGGCGAAAGAGTCTGCTGAACTGCTAGAGCTGTGACCTCTGGCTTCCACTCTTTTCTTTTGCAATCCCACCAAGTGCGTTGGTGTGTGGGATGTCAAAGAACACCTGGCTTCTCTGGACTGAGATTGCTCGGACTTGTACAGAATAGGACTCTAAGCTTCCAACTAGGTTGGTTCACCCTAGGATGCACATGATCCTGGGCTTGCACAGGGGCTGGAAGCTGAGAAGGGCGGTCAGGGGTGGGAACTGATACCTACACATCGAATGCTAAGAAAGGATACCCTAAAGCCTATGAAATGCTGGAAGAAACCATGCTATCCCTGGACCTCTAGTAATCAAGTGTTGGGCCACATCAACTAAAAGGGCTCTCCAACTTCCACAAGGGAAAACTCTCAAGGAGGTCCTGGGGAATTTCAGTTCCTCAGACAGGGCACAAAAAGGTATTTTATTTCCCTATTCTGAGGGAAGAGTTAACCAGGAAAGATCAGAATCCATTTAAATGCTTGTTCTCTCTGCCAAAAGAGCAACTGGATCTCAGTCAACAATGCTAGACACGCATGGACAATAGGGGATCTAAAAGGGTTGGGCCAGGCTGATGAAGTGGACTGTCAAGCTGGAGGCCAATGACCAACACTGCTTGGCTGCTCCCAACATTCTCAAGGCTTGGGATAGTACCCATACAAAGTGTGACCTCTTGTTAAAGAGACTAGAAAGATTCTGGCAAGGGTAGGAGGTTGGAGGAGATGACTGCTGTGAGGTCATTCCTGCTCTAGGATGCCATGATTGTTAATGAGAAAGAAGACTATGACAAGAAGGTACAAGGACAGATGGGGCTCATGCTGCAATAAAAAGGCTAGAATGCCAGAAAGAGCTGCACACTCCCACCCCTCCCAGGAAGCTAGGGTTCAAATGGCATATTCTCCTGAGCTTGATATTGCAGGGCTGCATTACAGAATTGGGTAAACACTCAGAAGGAATGCAGACAAGGCACCATCTATTTTGCATGTAAGAACCTTTCATCAGCAGAGGTCCAACCTGACAGGGTTTTTTCCTCGCCTTAACCATGGAGGGGGATCCCTTTAACTTACAGACTCAAGTGAGTCTGGGGGATAGGGGGATAAGTGAGTCATGGAGGAGGTAGCTTTGGACTAAAATTCCTTCTATTTTCCCTTGAAGTACAAGGGCTCTCTATTCTTTCCTCAGGGGGATGGCTCTAGCCACTTTGTGAGCTTCTGGGGATTGTGAGGGGACCAAACAAAATGACAACATTTGATAAGGATTTTTTCCTTAAATTTCAGTTTCAGTTGTCAGCTCCTATAGAGAACATGCCATTCCAGCAAAAGTCCCAGAGCTTTCATGAATAACCTGGGTGCAGGAGAACAATGAGGGCAAAGACACAATGCCCTCTTTGTGTCTGATAGTTGGGTGCCTTGAGCCAAAAATCTCCTGAAACTCCCTGAAGATAACATGAGCATTTATTCCCATGACAGCGCCTCTGTGACTTCCAATAACCTAGCTATCCACATCTGCTCCCCTCCCAGAAAGCGCTCAGGCAAGAAAAACAGTGTGCGTCACTAGTGTTCAGATGGCAGCTGCCAGAGATGCTGAGACAACTGTACAGCCTGGGCCTGTTTGGAGAGTTGGGGTGAAGGTGGTAGTAGGGATGAGTGGCAGTAGAGAGGAAGAGTTGGTAAATGCCAAGACTCCCAAAGAGTTCTGGGGAGGGAGTATGGACATCAAGGAAATAAATCCAGTGATGTTTTTTAACCCAAGCTGAGGGTTGTTTGGACTCCTTCATTAAGGATCAAAGACTCTGATCATAATCTCACTAAGCTAGGATTCCAACTGCTTAGTATGGGCTTATTTCTTGGGAGTTTATAAGGAGAAACCAACTATCTCTAGGTCCCCTTCTGCTCCAGTGAAAGTAAGGCTCTCTGTGGCAGTCAAGAGTGTTGGAGATTAAGAGGAAAGAAATTCTGTCCCAAATGAAGCTGGCCCAAGGAGAACGGAGAACTAAATGAGGGAGATCAACCCAGGCTGGTGTGGCTCAAGGGGTTTTCTAAGCTCTACCCACCTGCCCGTCTCCCTATAATCTTGGTTGCCCAGGGAGTCACTTTGCCATTCCAAGTAGTCTCTCAGGCCCAGGGGGTCTTTCCAGCCAAGAGTTTTACAAACAAGCTGGATCTTAGCCCCGTACCCTTCCAGGGAGCAGCATGTTCCAGAAGCAACAAAGTTCATTTCAGCAAAGGCAGGAGTAGTTTTGTTTTGTTTTGTTTTTTAATATCAATAATAGGAATATAAGACCCTTCCCAAAACCACTTCTCTTTCTGATCTGCCCTGGATTAAGCCCTGGAAACCTGAGGCCACACCTTCCCACTTCCTGCAGCCGGCCAGAGCCCAACATCTGCACACCCAGATTCTTTGAGCTCTGGCTCAAAGTCAGCCTGTACAGATGGATGGCCTCATTTAAGTTTTGAGATCTCCAGCATCCTGACTCTCGATGACAAAGTGGGAAAACTCTTTTTAGGATCTAGGAGTGGTTTGTACCCCTGGCCTCCTCCCCCCAAGCCCTTCTTTTATAAATGACTAGGCTCTGGATTTCCTACTGATAGAGTTGTTCCGATGTTTGCTCTGAACTTCATGATGGTTGGTAGAGATGCTTTGCTTTTGATTTAGTTACCTCAGTTAAAGAGAGCAGAACCTATTACGCAAAGAGGGCAGGAAGGGGCTGTAGCATACAATCATACTTGAGAGGCTTGGATTCCCAGAATCACAGTTTCAGAGCTGGAAGGGCCCTCAGCTGCTAGTCCAATTCATACCTGAAAGATTCTTCATGGCTTTCAAACTAAATTCAAATGACTTATTCAGATGGGGAAGCCAGAAGGGCCTCTTTCTTACAGGGTTTCCAAAAATCTTGCAAAGTGCATATGACCTCTTTCTCTGGGAGTGAGAGAGAGGCCTCAAAACAGAGGCAGGATCTAACTCCTGCTAGAGGTTTTATAATCAGAGGCTATTGAACTGGATGGGACAATCAGGGAACAAACCTCCTGCAGGGGTGTAATGTCTGAAGCTTGCTTTTCTGGAGCTGACCTATTCCCTAGATGTTAAATTGGCTTAGAGCCTCATCCAAAGTAAAGGACACACTTGTATATGTAGCTGGTAGGGGGAGGAGGAGATGATGGGACAGGAACTGGTGGAGAAAGGCAGGGTCCCCCTATGAAGTCAAGACAATAGGAAACCATCTTAGTAGACAATTAATCATAACTTCTTAGTTGATGCACAGCTGCAGTGGCCACTGAACAAGAGAAGTGGTAAGGGCCTAAAATTGCTGGCTTCAACTTAACACAGGAACTCTCTATGGGAGTACAAACTATCTGGATCTTCCAAACAGGTTGTTGGCACTTCAACTTTTTCTCTAGGAAAATGCATAAAAGCTAGAGGGGAAGTTATCAGGCAATAACAAAGAATGGCTGCTCTGGAGAGATTATATTAGTAAGAACTTCTGGATTTTCTGCATCAAATTTGATTTAAATCATTAAATTCTACCCTATTTCTGGAGATGGGTTTGTTTGAACTAGTAATTTTCCCAGGTCCTTTGCAATTCCCTCTATTCATCTGCTCCTGAGAGGGGCAGAATAGGTTGATCCAAGGAAAGAAAAAATGCCAGGCCTTGAGGACCTTTGGGCTTTTAGCCTGAGCCACATTTTAGATCTACAAAAGTGGACATAGAGTCAAAGACTGCTTTTCTTTTCTACCCTTAAGATGTGTTGGGTCAAAATCATGGCTCCACTACAAGGCCATGTGTGGCAAGATGGGCTCTTGGGGAAGAAATTAGGTTACTCACTGTCTTGGGGACAATCTGTTTCTTGGGCTGCCCAATCTTGAATGGAATCCTACAAGAGATAAAGAGAAAAGTTACAGGAGACAGGGAAGAATGTAATACTGTAAGGATGGGGATAAAGTGGATTGTTGAAATCTAGATAACTATCTTTTACAATGCAAGGAGAATTGGATTTAGAATCAGAGGATACAGGTTTGAATATAAGCTCTGCCGCTAGCTCTGTGACTATAAACAAATCACTTACTTCCGTGGACCTCAGTTTCTTTATCTGTAAAATGACATGGTTGGGATAGATTTAAAATTTCTTCTAGTTCTAAATACCCTAACCCTATTTCAGGAGTATAAAGAAAGAAGGCAGGTAGATTACCACCTGAGATGCTATTCCCAACTCAGATCCTTGTGGCTACTTATAGCTAGGCTGAGTTTTAGGGCAATGTTCTTCTAAACAGTGCTTTTTCAAATCCAAGTTCTTGACAACATTCTCCTATTACTATCTTTGCTGATAGTTACTATGGTATTAAATAAATATAAAGGGGGTGGAGAAAGGGAACTGTTTCATGAAGAATGAAACTGTCATGAGCCCCCCCCCCCCCCCCCCCAGCTATGAGAACTTTCAAAGACAGTAGTTTCAGGCTAGTAATCACCATACTTAAAAATCCTTATATTATTATTATTATTACTGGTTTTTTTTAGGCAATTGGGGTTAAGTGACTTGCCCAGGGTTACACAGCTAGTAAGTGTCAAGTGTTTGGTTTGAGGCAGGATTTGAACTCAGGTCCTCCTGACTCCAGGGCCAATGTTCTATCCACCGCGCCACCAAACTGCCCCCAAATCCTTATGTTATTAAAAAACAAACCAACCCATATTGACTATCTTCGATGCCTGATGACTCTAATGCATCTGTGGATCTAAAGTGTTCTTTTTCCTGGCCGGAGAGAGGTGATAGATTTCAGGTACACTTGGAAGACTGGTTATAAACTAAGTTCCCAGTAGAAACTGATAAGATCCAAATGAAGCTCAAAACAGAATCTGAGATTCAATCACAAATTTGTCTTTAAGTCAAGTCAACAAATATTCTTGAAAATGCTTACTATATGCCAAGCACTAGAGATACAAATAAAAGCAAAAAGAAAATCACTGTCCTCAAGGAGCTTATATACTAATGGGAGAAGACAACATATGACACATAAACGGGAGCTGAAAAGTGGGGAGGAGGGAGAAGGTAGGTATTCACTTGGGGGCCTGGTGGTGAAATCTGGAAAGTCACAAGCAGGGCTGGGAGAGGAGTGAAGGATGGCTGGGTTCTATGTCCTTCCTCGAAATTGAGGTCCTTTGAGGAACTCACTAATGAGAGAAAGGGGTTGCAGGAGAGGAAAGATGTTCCAGGGACTTGTTTTGGACCTACTATGAAGTTCTGTACCTCAGGTTCTCTACCTGAAAACAGGGAATATTCCTTCTGAGAAGTGATATGGTATAGTCAGTGGAAAAGAACATTAGATCATGAGTGACTTTAACCCTTCCAAAGCCTCAGTTTTCTCATGTATAAGATAAGGACCCTAATACCTACCTTGCTTATCTCACAGAGATGTTGGGAGGAGCAAATTGGAAAGGATGTGAAAGTACTTTGAAAACTGTGAAGTGATGGAGCAGCTAGGTGGTGCAGTGGATAGAGCACCAGCCCTGGAGTCAGGAGGACCTGAGTTCAAATCCGGCCTCAGACCAAACACTTGACACTTACTAGCTGTGTGACCCTAGGCAAGTCACTTAACCCCACTGCCTAGCCAAAGTACAAAACAAAACCAAAAAAACCCCCAAACCCTGTGAAGTGTTATATAATGGCAGACATTATTATTCTTATTCTTATTAATATATACATATTCAACATTTTATTTGTATATTCTACATACACACATAAATTCATATACACACATATCACACCAGATGGACAGGAGAATCAGTGCATAAGTTAGAAACCAGGCTTAGACTGGGAAGCAAAAGACACTTCCTGGTATAATTGTTGAAACTGTAGATATGTCTTAACATCAGATAGCTAGGGAGTCACTGGGATCAGCCCTAATAGATGAGCAAATTCAAGAGAGCCCTGGAGGCATGAGAATGAACTAATGACTTCTACCACTCGGTTCTACTTTGCTTTATTGAGTATACCCACTTCCTCTAATGTAAACTTCTTGCTTCAAATGTTGCAACTTACCTGTTCACTCACTGATTCTACCACTCCCCTCATACTTCTTTTTCTCTGTACCTAGTTCTATTTGGTCCAAACTGACCAGCATTGCTTCTAAACCCAACAGTGTAATTAACCACCGATAATAACCCCAGACGTCGATCCGGTGGAGAGGTTGGGCCAGCCTGAGTCACAGCGGTTAAATTTAATTTCTGGAGGACATCCTGTTTATTGTTAACCCAGCCCAGTAATTTGGGAGGGTTAACCCTTTGGGGACTGGCTGGCCCTGGCAGCAGTCAAAATTCACGTGGCTTCCATAAACAAATAATCCTCAACTGTATAATTACTGAGGAAAAGATCAGGCTGAGGGATAAAGAAGGGAAGAGAATTAGAACCTGCTTCCCTTTCTCAGACTGGCTATGAGGGACAATAGCTAGGTGAGAAAATCCCCTGAGACTCTTTTCTAATTCCTAACTATTCTTTCTAAAGGGTGAGGATTAAAGTCCACATATTGGTTTTAGATAGCTGGCAACTACCTTTAAAGCTATCTTTAAGGACCCTTCTGTGACAGTGCAAATAAGGTACTCAGAGTGGCATCATTATGAGATCAGCCACTATTTTCCTTGAGACCTGTGGTGTGGAAAAGATGCCATGCTAGCAATCAGAAGACCTAGGTTCTAGTTCCTAGTTCTGAGGCTGATAACTGTGTGACCCCAGGCACTTCTCGTCATCTCTCTGAAATAGTTTCCTCATCTATTTAAAACAAAATGAGGGGCTGAGTGGGAATTGAACTAGAAGGCTTTGTATAGACTCTATATAATTTTAATCTGAGAACCAAGCAGAATAGTGAGACAAGAAGCAAAGCTGGGTCATTGAATTTCAATGTGGTTTTCAAATGGATTTGTACTTAGAGAAGCAGTGCTCCTGACAAGGGACTGCTGAGTTAGGAATCTGGGTTCTATTCTTTATCATCTCTATCACTGATATGTGGATTAGAATTATAATCATAAAAGTTTTAGAGTTTAGAAGGCCATGTGAAGATCATCCAGTCTGATTGCTTTATTTCAGAAATGAGAAAACAGTCCTAAAGAGGCTAAATGATTTGTCTAAGGCACACAGTTAATGGCAAAATGACTAGAATCCAAGTCTCCCAGACTAGAAAGCTTTAATGATTTGGATTCTGACTTAAAATGCATTTGTCACTATTTTAAAGAATAGGGTAGGAAAAGTCACCTAGTCAAATGTTTAACACAAGAATTTGGTGAGGAGTTAAGGTAACCATGGGTTGAAGGCACTTCTGAAAGCTATCATCAACCAGGGAAGAGATTTCTTCGTAGCAGGGATGTTGCAGGGTGTAATGTCAATGTATAAAGGAAAAGTCGCGCATAACAACATATCCAACTCACCTTCCTCACTACTGAATTTCAGACCTGCAAAAACTGCAATGGCCTGATTGGTCTCCCTGACGTTTTCATATTCCTATTGATCCTGCTCCACGCTACCATATTTTAAACATTCTAAAAAACTACCTGTGTCATGCCACTACCCTGTCCAGAAAATGGTCTCCCACTGCATGCGGGATAAAGTCCACTCCATGCTCCTTTTTTAAAAACACAGTAACAGCAATATTGTTTTAATAACAACTCTGAGTGACTAGGTAATTTTGACTATTATAAATACCAATTTAACTATAATGGCCCTAGGACGGAAGATGTTATCTGCATCCAGAGAAAGAATTGATAACTAGAAATAGGTATAAAATGATTTTACATACACACATGACACACATATATGCACGTGCATATACATACGTGTGTGTATGTGTGTGTGTGTGTGTGTCTAACGGTAGTCCTCTGGGGTGAGGTAGGGAAGAAAAAAGAAAGTTACATGATAATTTGATTTTATATTTAAAAGGAATAGCAAGTTAAACATAATAGATTTGCAGTTTCATGTTCTACTATGTTATTGAAATGCTTGTTTTATTTCTTAAATTCAAAATAAAATAAATATATTTTTTAAAGAGGGACTTTGCTATAAACCTCCTGCCAATATTATAAAGTGCATATCACATACAAAATATTATTTTGGGTGCTAGGATCATAAATTTAGAGTCCTAAGGAACATTAGAGACATGTTCAACCTTTTCATTAAGTTTTTATTGATATCTTCTGTTTCTTACATCATCATAGTTACCCCAAGTATCACTTCTCCTTCTAAAGAACCATCTCATATAACAAATACTGTTCTTAGACAGGAAATCTGATAATCTTATCAATACAATGAAAAATGAAATGCAATGAAAAACACTTACAATGTGTAATACGTATGGACCTCCCACCACCACTGAAGGGTGGGGGTTCACACTATGCTCCTTAAATTGTCATTTAAGGTTTCAATAGTCTGGGTAGGGCTCCTAACCAGAAGTATCATCTCTGGCTATAGTGTAGAGGCCTGGAAGGGATTAGATTTAAGACAGAGTGAGGTGTGGCAGAAAAAGCCCTTGCTTGAGAATCAGGAGACCTGGGTTTGAGACCTGGCTTGCTACTGCCTCACTATGAATTTGGGCACATCTAGTGGGTGGCACTAAATTACCTCTATGGTCTTGTCCAGCTCTAATATTCTTTGATTCTGGTTCCTAGCCTATTTCTCACTGTTCTTCAGTGAAAAGCTTCTGTTTTAACTATGCTGACCCAGTTACTCACAGGAATCTCCTGTCCCTCAAAATGCCTTCCAATCTCTTTTCTGTCCACCCAAAATCCATGCTGCAAAATCTTTCTCAAGTCACAACTCTCTTATCACATCACACTCAGTGATTCCCTCCCTCCGTTTACTCCTAACAACTGCCTGTACTACTCACCTGGCATTTA